AGAGGAGGAATAAAAGGGAGAAATGAGGGACATCTAAAATGCAAATATTACTTCCGGTAGCTTTTGTTAGCTTTTAGTAGCATTTTTATTAAAATACCAAAAATCATTGGAATAGTTTAGTTGTTGTTTACTGTTGGATAAAAGTGGTAAAATAAATTTACTCATTGATGCGTAAGCGTTATTTTCCGCTTCCGGTATTAAAGCGGAAATATTACTAAGTCAGGTTTATTCAATTTCCGTTTAATTTATATACCAAACAAATCCTTATGATATAATGGACAAATAATTCAATCAGTATTACTATTAATATGATATATTTGATATAATTAATACAATTAAGTATTTACTAATTAATATGATATATTTAATATAATTAATACAATTAAGTATTTACTAATTAATATGATATATTTAATATAATTAATACAATTAAGTATTTACTAAATAATATGATATATTTGATATAATTAATACAATTAAATATTTACTAATTAATATGATATATTTAATGTAATTAATACAATTAAGTATTTACTAATTAATATGATGTATTTAATATAATTAATACAATACAATTTATATAATTATTATTATTAATATGATGTATTTAATATAATTAATACAGTACAATTTGTATAATTAAGTATTATTATTAATATAATATATTTAATATAATTAATGCAGTACAATTAACGTAATTAAGTATTACTATTAATATGATGTATTAAAAATGAATTTTTGATAAATTTTAACTTAATTACATCATATTTATATCATACATTTTGATCAAATTCCTTTTCATTTTTTCTTCAACACTTCTATTTTACCTTACTTACTAAGTAAAACAATTAAATGTTTATAATGAGTATAAACATTTATGACACGTACGTTACGTGATAAATTATAGTAAGTCTGATTTCTATTCTTTCGTTAAATATGTATTATTTAAAAAATAAATAAATAGTATAACTACTATTCCTGGCACGTACGTTACGTGATAGATTATCTTATAGTAAGTCTGATTTCTATTCTTTCGTTAAATATGTATTATTTTAAAAAAATAAATAGCATAACTACTACTCCTGACACGTAGTATACTGACACGTATACTGACACGTACGTTACGTGATAAATTATCTACTTTTATTCATTACTTATTGTATCAGATGTTATCACATTTTCTTTTTTTTTATTTCGCTTATAACAAAAGTTTGCATTAGAAGCATAACAATTGTCCTCGGATAGAAGTAATTGCAGGTAGTAATAATAGTTGTGATATTTGATAATGATAGTGATATTAGTTGTGGCAAGTTGCACGTCAATGATGAAGAGATTGAAAGGATTAGTTCTTATGATTGTTGTTATTGTTGTTTATTGTAGTGAATATTATATTTATACTTATCATCATTATCATTATTACCATCAATGCAATTATTAATATTTTTATCAAATCTTTTCAACATTCTTATCTATTTTTTAAGTTATTTTCCGATATTTTTCTTTTTCTGATCTAATTTCTATTCTTATTCCCTTGCCGTCTATTTTTCATCATCATTAATATTATCATTATTATTATTGTCATCAAAATTAATCACATTCACTCAACAATTTTTATCTTTTTCTTTTTCCGTTTTCTTCCTTTCTCTCCCTCTCTCTCTCTATCCACTCTTGTTAATTTCTGTATTTTAAGTTATTTTCCGATACTTTTTTTTCTGATTTAATTTCTATTCTTATTCCCTGTCCATCCATTTCCCATCATCATTAACATTTCCATTACTATTATTATCATTATTATTATCATCAAAATCAATCACTTTCATTCAACAATTTTTATCTTTTCCTCTCCTTGTTTCTTTTTTTCTCTCACTCTATCCAATCTTGTTTATTTCCGTATTTCAAGCTGTTTTCCGGTTTTTTTCTTATTTTTTTTTTATTCCTGATCTAATTTTCATTCTTATTCTCTCTCTCTCTCTCCAATTGTTTCTATCTTCTTCCCTTATCATTATTTTTTCATTTTAAACTTTTCTATTGATTACTAATCACTGATTACTCGTTAGCAGATAGTAATAGTAAAAATGGATGGATATATAGCAAGGCTATTGCTCGATACTTTTCCGCCCTTTCATTTCATCGTAAATTGAAAGCAGCTGACACTCCTCATAAAATTTTCCTCCTTTAACCTCTTACTTCAAATTCTTTTTCATCCTATACTAACCTCTTCATCTCCCTTTATCAATTCTGATAATCTTCTTCTTTATCACTACTACATACACACACATACACACACACACACACACACAATTACCAATTTTATTTTCAATCAACTAATCAAAAGTAATAATAATAGTAGTGATAATATTCATCTTTCGTACAAACTAATTGATCTTAAAAAAAAAAAAAAGTAATTATCATTATCATCATTTTCAATCTTTCTACTTCTTTCTCTCCTTCATCAATCCTATTTGTAAACTAAATTTTTTCTTTCCCTTTTATATACATTCGAAAACATTTCCATTACAAATTGTTGACTGTTAAATGAACCATCATCGTGACCTAATCAATCATTTTTTTTAAATGAACCATCATCGTGACATAATCAATCTTTTTATTCCTTTAAATTCTTTTTAATTCAACAAACTTTTAAAATGGTAATATTGCCATTTTTTTCCCGTTTTTCCCTTTCTTTTTTTTTTTTTTTTTTGGTTGGCACTATTATTCTTTTTATTCTTATCTTTC